GGATGGGAGGAGGGTTGAGATAAGGGGTGGAGGAGGGGAGGGGAAGGGGGGGAGAGGTTGGAGAGCCATAACCTGGGATTGTAACACCCCATAGCTGAAGGCTAGTTCAGAGGTACCTGTTGGCAGGGGTTTTTGTTTGGTTTTGGTTTTTTGGTTTTTTGGTTTGCGATCAGCAAAGCTAATCACTTCATTCCTCATCTCGCGGCCGCGATCCACGTGCCCTGGGCCCTTTCCCTTGCCTCCAATTTTCCCATCTCCCCGGGGGAGCCTTGAAATGTACATTTGAGAAGACTTTTGCCATCCTCAGGGAAAAGGACTGTGTCAAGAGTGAGCCACCCAGTCTCTAAAGCTAGAAAGCCCCCAGTGTGCCACGGGAAACGCTTGCCTCTCACCCTGTTTCCCAGCGCCAACCTCCGGGGCAGGCATCCGGGTGGAGAGAGGACTTGTCCCTCGTGGGTGGTGGTTCTTTATAGAAAAAATCGAAGCTTAGCAGCTCCTCGAGGCCCGGTAAGTGCACGCCCCACGAACAGCCCAAGTTTGCCTCCTGGTGGCCACTTTGATGTCATGGCCCTGACCTAAATCAAAGAAACTGGTTATGCTGGGAGGTCGGTGCGCGTCACAGGGCAATAGCGCGGTGGCATGGGAATGCGGGATCTTTAAATCGAAGCCCTTGGCTGGGCTCCGGCATCTTCTCAGGTCCTTGAGAGCCGAAGCAGGGTTGCGGCGGCATGGGGGACAGTGGCGGTGTGGGGGACGGTACGCGGTGGAATGGAGGGGGGTTGGGAGCTGGGCAGACACTGGCTCTGTGTGCGTGTCGGTCTGTGAACAGGCCAGTCGTCATTTTATCTCTCTGAATCGCGGCTTCCTCACCTGTATTCATTCAGCTGTCCCTCTTGTTTTCTTTTCTTTTTTTTTTCCCAGGGTTTGGTAAAGGCTCCAGTGTGGTGGCCTATGAAGGACAATCCTGGCACGACTACTGCTTCCACTGCAAAAAATGCTCCGTGAATCTGGCCAACAAGCGCTTTGTTTTCCATCAGGAGCAAGTGTATTGCCCCGACTGTGCCAAAAAGCTGTAAACTGACAGGGGCTCCTGTCCTGTAAAATGGAATTTGAGTCTTGTTCTTTGTGTCCTTACTCTGCCCTACACCATCACTAGGGGAAGAGTGGTCTTTCACCTCCTTAAAGTCGCTCCTTCTGTCTTTTCTCCCATTTTACAGTATTACTCAAATAAGGGCACACAGTGATCATAGTAGGATTTAGCAAAAAGCAACTTTGCAGCAAAGTTAATTTCTCTCCAGCTGCAATTACAAAACAAAAACTTAGGTAGATTGACTCTTCTGCATGTTTCTCCTAGAGCAGAAAAGTGCTAACCATGTAGCCATTTAGTGACGTAAGCAAGAAGCGTAAGAGATGAAGCCCCCACTGAGACACCTTTCAGCCTCAGCTGGGACCCACATGACAGGCAAGAGTTGCAGCGGCTGCTCCAACTCGCTGCTCACCCTCTTCTGTGAGCAGGAAAAGAGCTTCCTGACATGCATGGTTTAACGTCATCAAAACTCCTACCTTCCTTCTGTTCTTTTGTGCTTTCAAATGACTAATACGAATTTCCAGAAAATTAACATTTGAACTTAGCTGTAATTCTAAACTGACCTTTCCCCTGTACTAACGCTCGATTTTCCTGTGTGGCGTGTTTTCTGAGCGTTCCTCCTTTAAGGCTTGGAACACACAGGTGATTTGGAAAGTGTAGGCAGATCTGAGAAAACGAGCCTGTTTCAAAGGAACACTGTCACAGTGAATACTTCTGGAAGCTTAACAAAACTAACCCTGTTGTCCTTTTTATTGTTTTTAATACATCATCTTCTTGTTTTCAGTAATAGCAGAATAGTTTATGCGTTTGGAAACGTGCATGAAAATATTCTAGCCCCCTCAGACGTACCTTCAGTGTTGAGATTCATCCTACAGAAGTCACCATAAAACTCTGGGGGGTGGGGGGCTGAGCAGGCACCAGGGCTGTCATCAACATGGATATGACATTTCAAAACCGTGACGAGTTGAATCCCTTGTAACATAGTAGTTGTCTGCTGTTTGTTCATGTGTTAATGAGGACTGCAAAGTCCCTTCTCTTGTGATTCCTAGGACTTTTCCTCTAGAGCTTAGCTGGATCTCTGGGGGAGTGGGGAGGCCACCAACCTCACAGGCAGAACCGGATTTCCACCTACTGCTTTCCTGAAATGCAGGATCACCTACTTACTGTATTCTACATTATTATCTTACATAGTATAACGAGACAATATCAAAGTAAACATGTAATGACAATACATATTAACATTCTTGTAGGAGTGGTTATAGAAGCTGATGCCTCATTTTGACATTTTGTCATTAGCTATTCTCATCTAACGTTTCAGTGTATCCTTACAGAAATAAAGCAGCATATAAATAACTTGCTGTCTGTCTTTTTATTCTGCCCGGCGGAAACACTATAACCTGACACTACTAACCCAGAAACCTGAATAACTTTTTCTCTCAAGAATATATTCAGTTCAACGCAGTTGCACAAAGCATAGACGTTATAAGCAAGCCTGTAAAACCACTCTGATACAGTTCAAAGAAACCACTCTAACCCCAAATAGTATTTCCCAGATGTTCATTTCCCTGAAAAAGAGGAATTGGTTTTATTTGGCCAGGACAGTGGGGGTTGGGGGTGGGAATCCCAGATGAAGCATGTCACTGAGAAGCCATCTTGGTCCCTGTTTGTTGGGAGCCCAGAGCGCAGGTTCAACACTGCCATCTCTTTAACTGCTGTACTGCGCCCTCTACTGTCCGGCTCCCTCCACCATCTGGCCATAAGGAGACCTTCGCTCCTCCATGTGGGCGTGGCTTACTGGGGAGCCTGCTTCTAGATCAGTCCCATGCACTTCAGTCAAGGCGTGAGGGGTGGGAATAGTGTGACCTTTCGGCTGCCCATTTCCCCTGCTTCTACATCAGTGGCACGCACTGGCGTAATTCACCTGGGATGGGTCATCCCACCCACCCGCACTCACATGGTCCTTTCTGGATGACAGGTGTCTGCTGCATGCTCCTCCACCCATTGGAAGGGTCTACAAGACCTCTAAGGTCCCCTTGTCCAACTCTATTTCAGCTACAGGCAGAGCTGGAGGGAGGAAAGGGTGTTAGTCTTTTGAGGCCCACATGCTGAGGTCATAAAAGCAAGGGATAGAACCCCTTTGGTGCTAGCATTTGCCTTCTGAGAAGGGAATCAAAACCTGTCAGCAAGAAACCATGAGCGTACTTAAGAACGTACTTAAGAAGCTGCATGTGTTCCTTAGAGAGTTCCTGAGGCTGCAGCAAGGAAGGGAGCCCCGAGGGGCAGACTGGGATGGAAAGGGGGCCCCTAACCGCCTTCACCGAGGACTCTGGCCCCAACTTACACTCTTATGCTACTTCGGCTGAGCCTGGGTCATCTTGGTATCCACAGTGCCCTCCTTTTCCCTTCTGGGGCATTCTCACTGGACCAGTTCCTTGCCCTCCAGTTCATGAACCACTCTAATCTGCCGTCAGCCCATCCTGCCCCACTGTCCCTCCCTACCTGTCCTAGATTTGAGGCTCTACCTCTTCAACCATTTTCCCTCCTCACTCCTGTTACCCTTTTGCCCTTCTAGCTTGCTTGGCTGGCAGAACTCAAGCTGGTGGCCTGAGTTCTGCTGAGGAAAAGCCACACTGCCTAAAATTCCCACCGTTCCACAACTTGTTCCACATTCCCAAGATTGCCTCCACCACCATCCTCACCCGGGAAACAAGCCCATCAAGAGTCTACCTCTAGCTATTGCTTGCCATGTGATACCTGCCCTTTCCAGTTTAGTACCTTGAGAGGTAAGCACCTGCACACATTATAGCTAATCCTCACAGCCCACGCTGGTTCTACTGGACCTATTTTCTAGATGAAAAAGACATTCAGAGAGGTTAAGAAGGTTGACTAAGGTCCCACAGATAATAAGCAAAGTCTCACCCTGGGCACACACCTAGCATATTGCTCCTGACACTGCATTGTCAAAGAAATGGATACATCACAATAAGGAACTATTATGCACAGCGCACAGTACTTAGAAGACACTTGTGTTTGTTGGATCTGTGATTTTAAGAGTGACAACCATAAGGCTCAGGAGGAATAAGGGTATCTAGTTACCAATTTGTTGGCAGAGAAATATTTTCTCCCTCATAATGAAGGGGATCAGAATATCAAGAACATATCTACTTGGCCAGGTGCCGTAGCTCATACCATTAAATAATCCCAGTAATCCCAGCATTTTGGAAGGTAGGCAAGAGGATTGCCTGAGCCCAGAGGTTCGAGACCAGCCTGAACAACCTGCCGAGACTTTGTCTCTACAATAAATCAAAAAATTAACAGGGTGTGGTGGTGTGTGCCTGTAGCTCCAGCTACTTGAAAGGCTGAGGCAGTGTCACTGCACTCCAGCCTGGCAACTAAGATGCCAACACACACACACACACACAATAACAAAAAACCCCACATCTACTTGTGGTCAACAGGATGGGTTCTAGAGCCAGGCTACCAGGGCTCAACTCCTGGCTGCTCTTGGACTTCCTAGTCATGAGACCTTGGGCAAGTTACTTAACCTCTCTCAGCTTGTGTCTTCGCTTGAGATTTAAAATTCCTGCTTTGCAGAATTCCACACAGATGACATGATAATATAAGTGCTTAGGGGTGAGTGGCACCAGTAAAGACAGTTAACATTGGCAAAGATTTTATCCCCAGCACCAAAGACACTGATGTCTGTGACCTACCCTGCAAGACACTACGACCATTCCCAAAGCAGTGTGGGGTTTTGACATGAGTCGGTCAGACTTGGTTTAAATGTCAGCTCTCCCTCTTATTGTGTGACCTGGAACAAATGCCACTCTCCACAAATCTCAGTGTCCTTGTAGGTATAATGAATATTCATACCTCACCAAGTTGTGAGCATTTAAAATGATGCCTATAAAATCCCCAGCATATCATACATGTAAAGTTGACTTACAATTATTGCAGCACAGTTAGGAAAATTAGATGGGTGGCTAGGACCCATCTGGAAACATTTTAACTAGATTGGTGAGAAGACCAAAGGCAAGGAGGGCCTGTTTCAACCAACTAGGTCATTGGGGCCCTGTGGGAGAGGGCACTGAAAGTGACACAGAGAATTGACTCGATATAAAGTATCACACTCTGCCTTCAAGCTGTGGCTCCCTGGCCTTAGCTGCTGTTTTATGACTCCTGATACTGACTCTGGCTCCAATGAGTTACTGGTTCAAGAACAGTGGAGTCTCAGAACTGAAAGGGCTGCAGAGATTGCAGTACCGTCTCTCTCATTTGACAAATAAGGAGCAGGGCTCAGAAGGAAATGATGTTCACAAAGTCACACATGAGCCAGCAGCCTTCTCGGTCGGGTTCAGGTCTTCAGGGTCCTGTCTAGCTTTCTTTACGGTATTTCACACTGCGTTACTGTGGTTTTTAGGGAATAGAACTGTTTAAAGCTTCGTTCCACACGCAGTATTCAAGATAACACGGGTATAGGAAATATGCTGATCCGCAGAAACTGCTGGTAGAGGCCAGGGATCTGGTCCTCAGGGGAGAGGACACCAAAAGCCCATCCAGAAAGGAAGGGAAATGTGAGGAGTATGCGTGAAGGAAAGGCTAGATCAGTGTCCATCACCTTGGTGTAGTAAACAGGAACATCCTGGTTCAACAGTTCCAACGGGTGGGTCAACAGGACCCGGAGCCAAACTTGGCAGCAAAGAGTTTCTGGCTCACATGAGGCACGTGGAGGAGGCACCTTTCACATGAATGAGGTATATCTTGTTTGTGCTGATTCAAATGTGTACAGAATGCTCTAGAACACTCAGTGGGGAAGGGCTGCCACTATTCTCATAAGCCACCAGATCCCAAAGAATGTCATTAAGAGACATAAGGGATATAAAAGAGCATAATACTGTAACTGTCTGGGCACACACACCCAGACTTTAAAAAGCAAGTGGGTTTTTCTCATTAAGGCAAGTACCAATTCAAGGTTTAAAAGGGCTGGGGGAGAGAGAAGAGGGACTAACTGCTTAAAGGGCACAGGGTTTCTTTTCACGGTGACAGTGGGGATAGTTGTACAACCTTGTGAATGTACACTTTAAAATGGTGACTTTTAGGTTATATGGATTTTTTTTTTTTTTTTGAGTTGGAGTCTCACTCTGTCACCCAGACTGGAGTGCAGTGGCCACTCCCGGCCAATGCAGCCTCGACCTGCTGGGCTCCAGCGATCCTTCAGCCTCAGCCTTCCAAGTAGCTGGAACTACAGGTGCACGCTACCCATGCCCAGCTAATTTTTTGATTGATTGTAGAGATGAGGTCTCACCAAGTTGCCCAAGTGGGTCTCGAAACCGCGGGCTCAGGCAATCCACTCACCTCAGCCTCCCAAAGCATGGCATTACAGGCTGAATGTATTACGAGCCCGGCGGTTATATGGATTTTATAACAATAAATAGAAAGATACTTTAGTACTAAGCCTCAACTAACTATAGGTCAGAAACATCACAGGGAGCTAGCATATAAAGATAGTTTTTAAACCTAAGGCACCCTGCTCTAATTTATAACAAAGGGACAATACTCTGAGTGGCAAAGAACTAGGGAATCAGAAGGAATCTGACAAGAGCATGAAAGATGCTAACTATTCCATGACAGGGTTTTCCAGGACTCCTGGCATTTGAGGGTGTCAGTGCCTATGCACTTGCTGGCACAGGCGACAGCAGAGTTAAAAGTACACATAAATAATGGTAAAATAGAATTTACAAGCATTGAAATAGTTGCAGGAAGACCAGAGTTGGAAAACTCCTTTCTGTCCCAGAAGTGGAACTCTGCCAAATCACTAACTAGATGAAGAGTAAAATCAGAAGATTTGGCTACTATTTATTAAACTTGCTGGTCGCCTGTGTTCATACCAACAATTGGTGTCACCTTTATACCACCACCAGTACAAAACCTTGTTTTATCTGCAAAGTTTATTTTATACAGCACGCATTATAGAGATCTGTAACAGAGTATTTCAACATGTGACATTTGTGCAGAGAAATACAGAAACTCATTTGTTCAGGATTGTCTTTGCTTTCTACATGAAAGAGTTAGCATATAAAGATAGTTTTTAAACCTAAGGCACCCTGCTCTAATCTATAAGAAAGGGACAATACTCTGAGTGGCAAAGAACTAGGGAATCAGAAGGAATAATTACCTCCTTTACTAATTCAAGACTGGTGGCCAAAAGACACACTGGCCTGGCATCAAACTATTTTTGATTCGATACTGAAAACTCATTAGCATTAGGACAATTAACTTGCATTAGAATTTTATGGAATCAGATATCCTGTGTTTGTGTACATCTGTGTGCACTTCTGCATGCCTACTGCAAGAACTGAAAAATAACACTGCTCCTGTACTCACTGGCAGCCAGTGGCTAGAGGAAGACAAGCAAATTCTGGTTATGTATCTGAAGTCTGAGTGTATACCGAAGGACAGAACTGGAGAGCACAAGCAGAAAAAGACTACAAATATTAAACATTTATAGGAATTAGACATACTCCACGAGACAATAGCAAGTATTGCTTCCTGTACACAATAAAAATAATACATTTTTGTAGATAAACCCCACTATGTATTTCGAAGGACAACACTGACAAGAGCATGAAAGATGCTAACTATCCCATGACAGGGCTTTTCAGGACTCCTGGCATTTGAGGGTGTCAGGGCCTATGCACTTGCTGGCACAGACGACAGCAGAGTTAAAAGTACACATAAATAATGGTAAAATAGAATTTACTATATTGTTTTGCAACTTTTGGGATTTGTATATTTGAAACCATCTGACCTGTTGTGAGTAATCCTGAACCCCTTGCATAATCCATTATGTTCTCTACAAGATCAAGTGTGAATTTTTAGTTTTAGAATTAATGTCATTGGTAAACAGAAGAAACATTATTTTAAGATTTCAAATACATACTGAAAGAGAATTAGTCCTTCCATAGGATTCTTTTAGAAACTCCATAGTGATTATTTTAGGAAAGCATTCTTTGATGCACACTCACTCCAGCACACACATTGGTAGGAAAACACAGGAATAAGAAACAATGGTGAGTTTTCAAGGAAAACAAAAAACAACTCTTTAGTCAGAACTCTTGCTTAGACACAAGAGAACAAGATGATAAGAACATCTGATATATATCAAGGTGACCTCTTAACGTTTTCCTTTTTTTTTCTTTGATGGTCACTTCCTTTGCTAGGTTCAAGTTGGAAGCAGAAAAATTTGGGAAGATGGGCCTGAGAGTTGAACTATTCAGAGTGGAAGATGCATTAATTTCCCAGGCCGCATGATGTTTACATATCTGAACAAAGGGAAAAAGAAAAGAAAGATTAGTAGAGAAGATGCTAGTCTCATGGCAACTTGTCCCTGGCCTTCCTTTGGGGCATGCCAGGACCCTTGGAACCCCCTGGAGTTGTTTATATACTGGTGTTTCTATAAATGTCCCCCAGCTACCCCAACCCCCTATCAGGCTCAAGCTGCCTCTCTTAATTTCAGAGAGCTTCTCAAGGAAAGAAAAACAGGGGCCCTTTGGTTTTGGAAACACAGGTTGAGGCTGATTGCAAAGATCTCCCTAACCTTTGCCCTAAACGAATATCTGGGTGCTTGTCAAGCAATCATAGATCAGGAGTTCAGAGGAACCTGAGGCATCTGAGTCTAAAATTTGTTCTCACCGTAAGTAGGTCCTGAACATGAATCACAACACTACAAGCGAGGGATCGGCAGTAGCAGGACACTGCCGGGGGGGGGGGGGGGACACGTAACACAAAGGGTATCTGATCCTAAAACGGGGGAAGTGAGGACCAGTAGGAGGCCCAAACTTCACCTGCATGTAGACCACATATGTACCTAATCCTGACTTGTACCCCACATCTTTAAAATAAAATAAAAGCCGGGCTCGGTGGCTCAGCCTGTAATCCCGTGCCTTGGGAGGCTGAGGTGAGTGGATTGCCTGAGCCTGCGGGTTTGAGACTCGCCTGGGCAACTTGGCGAAACCTCATCTCTACAATAAATCAAAAATTCAGCTGGGCGTGGTAGCCCATGCCTGTGATTCCGGCTACTTGGAAGGCTGAGGCTGAAGGATCACCGGAGCCCAGCAGGTCGAGGCTGCGGTGGCCAGGAGCGGCCACTGCACTCCAGTCCGGGCGACTGAGTGAGACTCCAACTCAAAAAATAAAAAATAAAATAAAATAAAGAGGAAAAGATAAAGAAATAAAAGTAAAAAGAACTTATTTGTTATATCTAGCAGGAAATGTGGGACATAAAAATTAAAAGCAAGCCATCTACTTTCTCAAAACTAATTTAGTAGAAGACTCTTCCACTTCATCCCTGATGACCCACCACTGTCTTCTCCCTGTCCTCCAAAGTTACATGATACAAACACTGCCCTGGAATAGCTAGAAGCAAGGAAGGATTCAAGGTCAATCACCTTTCAAGCAAAGGAGAGATGGGATGAGGCCTTACCGGAATGAGGAGAAGAGCTTCTTTTTTGATCATTTAAAGGTGTCTGGGAACTTTGGCAAAATGTCACGGAATCTTCCAGATTGTATTTGTGGTCTTCAGGAGGGATACCTGATACAGATGGTTCTGGGTCACTTATGATGTCAATCACCTTGTCACAGGTCCACTCCTGTTTTGAATTTAAACTGAGAGAAGATCTGATGATGTTGTTGGTTTCATTTGCCTTTTCAGTTTTTGCTGTGCGGCTAGTCATTTTTCTGGTGGATGATCTGGAATGAGATATTTTGGTTAGAATCTCCATTATTCCAAAACTAAGGCTCTCTCCTGAAATAAGCTTTATCCTTTAGTTAACTTCTGAGAAACACTCTAAAAGTAAACAAACTTTCAGAATCATAGAACAGGATGGCTGGAAGGAACCCTAGAGATCACAGAACACACTGCACACTGTTTTTCAAACTGTATCCTAGGAAGCCCTAGAGTATCACACAAGCACCAGGGGTAGGAGCAGCTAAGCACACAGGGTTGCAGGAACACTGTCTCTCCTTCAAGCTGGCCAAGGACACAGCCAATAAGGTGCAGTTAGAGAACTGGTGCAGGTTTTCTAATGCCAGTGCTCTTTCCACATCATCACTGTTCCTCTTAGCAGACACTTATTTCCAAGGGCTTTGCAGCAGGTTGATGTCTTTTCAGGCAATTGCCCGAGTAGAGTTCCATTTCAAGAATCTGCTTCTGCTCTCCTGATCTAACTTCTGACACTGCTTCATTATATGTAAAATGAGGATATTACTATCATACTCAGTTACAACAAGAATTAAATAGGCAAAATAAAATGGCTGGTATACAACACTCAATAAATGTCATTTTGCCTGGCTTTAAGACGACATTGGCTAGGCTTGGTAATCCCAGGGCTTTGGGAGGCCGAGTTGAGTGGATCGCCTGAGCCCGCGGGTTTGAGATCTATCCGGGGAACTTGGCAAAACCTCATCTCTACAATAAATAAAAATTAGCCGGGTGTGGTAGCGCATGCCTGTAATCCAGGTTACCTCAGAAGGCTGAGGCGGAAGGATTGCCGGAGCCCAGAGGGGCGAGGCTGCAATGGCCAGGAGCGTGCCACTGCACTCCAGTCTGGGCGACCGAGTGAGACTCCAACTCAAAAAAAGGAAAGACAACATTAACCAGTGTGAATGAAAGCACAGTTTGGAGTCATGTATCTGGAATTAAATTTGAGCTCTTTTAGTAGTGGAATGTTGGGCAAAAAAGGCCCCTATCTTCTCTGCACCTCAGTTTCCCTGTATTTAAAAATGGGTATGATGACCCTTACTTAGCAAGCTGTTGTGGGGATAAGTTTGCTTCTCTTAAGTCAAGTGCTTGGCATAGTGTTTGGTACAAACTAAAAGCTCAATAAATAATATTTTTTAGCATTCTAGGAATGTCAGTCCTAATCCCACCACGTTTATTTGGATAAATTCACTGAGTAACTCACCTTGAACCTTTTGCCTGTGTTGAAGAGTTTCTCATACTTTGTTGTTTGAAGGTGTTCAAATCGCCATTAAAATATATTTTTGACTCTGTACGCACATGACCAGAAGTGCCATCTAGAAATACCAGCTTGTGCAACATTTTCTTGGCATTTCTAAGAGGCACTTTGAGTTTGGCTGGTGAATCTCTGCCATTTAGAATGGCTAGGGAAAAAAAGAACCAAAACAAATTTTTTTAAATGGAGTTTCAACAACAAATTCAAGAAAAAGCAAAGGCTATGATCCTGACAGTATGGGGAGAAGGTGATGCCTGCCTGGAGGCAGAAGAGTCAGGCAGCAGTACTCTGGATAGGGAGGCCCAGCATTCCCACAATGGCTTCCCTTTCCTGAGCCATGGCCCAGACCATTGCCCAGTACACACACTCACCCTGCCCTTGAGGCACTAAAGGAATACCTTAAACAAAATCTGTCCTCTTTCTTTTGCTAGGAAAAGAATAATGGGGCAGAGGCAGGACTGTTCTAGCTTCTCACCCTTCCTCTGATAACCCACCTAGACAATTCGGCTTGAGTCTAGTCTCACCTCCAATGCTACTGCCTAGCTTCAGCTTTCCTCAATACCCAAGACTGAGGGACTCCACCTGCTACTTTCTCATTGCATTTTGACCAAGCTTCTTTTAACCCAATCATCCTGTGGCAGTCTTATCATTTGCTTCTATGTCTTCTTCCCACTGGCTATGGCTCCTTGAAGCTGAGAGCCTTGTCTTTTCATCTCTGTATTTCCAGGACCTAGTAGAGGACCTGACTTACCTGTTCAATAGGTACTTGCAGAATATATATAGATTAATAGAGTTTTTACAAATGCCAGTTATTGCTACTATAAAATAGCGTCTACTCATAAGGGAGTCAATGATGCATTCTAGAGGGCATTCACATCATGATATGATTTCAATTTTCTTAATGAAGTGAGAAGTAGAATTCCACCTATGGTCAAACACGGATGCCTTGAGGCTCGGACTATGAGATGCTAGCAATCCTCACAGTCTATTAGCAGAACCTTTAAAAGAATAACAGCAGCAGTAGCCGATGTTTATTGAAAGTTTACTATGTGGCAGGAACTATTCCTAGCATTACACAGATTTATCTAACTGAAATCTTATGTCCCCCCCACACATCAGGAGAAGGACATTAGCTGCTTGGTGACTAACAGAACAGAACCGTTAGAAGCAAGTGAACCTGATGGGAACATTTCATTAACAGAGTCCTCGTCACTTTCGGTCTCATTCTCATCATCAGCCTCATCCTCCTCATATGTTTCATTGCCCGATGTTTCTGCAGCCTACAATTGAAAAATAAAATCATGATTATACCTAACAGTCAATCATCCTGGGCTAAGAATTTCAAAAAAGTAAGATTTCAAAGCTGGACTGATGGCTAACTTTTGTCATTTCAATTAAAAGGTAAAAAAATCAGCCAGGTTCGGTGGCTCAGCCTGTAATCCCGCGCCTTGGGAGGCTGAGGTGAGTGGAATGCCTGAGCCCATGGGTTTGAGACCCGCCTGGGCAACTTGGTGAGACCTCATCTCTACAATAAATCAAAAAATTAGCCGGGTGTGGTAGCGCGCGCCTGTAGTTCCAGCTACTTGGAAGGCTGAGGCGGAAGGATCGCCGGAGCCCGACAGGTTGAGGCTGCAGTGACCAGGAGCGGCCAATGCACTCCAGTCTGGGCGACAGAGTGAGACTCCAACTCAAAAAAAAAAAAAAAAAGGGTAAAAAATCTTACCTCTTTACATGACCCCCAAAATCTACAGGGGACAGGAACAGGTGGCCCTAGTTGTGTCTTTCAGCTAAGAAGACACTCATGAATGAAGATTTCCCTGAATGGGAGCAAAGGTACTACAGCTTTGGGTTGGCAGTCTTTCCTGTTGGCCCAGAATCCTAAGATGGGGTGAATAACTAAAAAGTTTTTGGTACCACTTGAAGTAAAACGTCCCAGGCCAATGAGTTGGATGAACTTTGAAACGGTGATTCCCAGAACTTCATAGAAATAACATTTATTCTAAATCCTCACGCTACTTAATGATATGAATGATCACAGCTGAACAATTGTAAACAGGCAAAATATCAGTCTTGCAGTATAGAGTGTAAAAAGCACAGAATCTAGAGGGAAAAAGGGCCTTGAATACATGTGCTCCATCAGAAGACACAGTGCTGGGGTAAGCAAATAACTATGAAGCAGATCCCAATCGCACTCACCATAAATTTTTTAAAAAGGTAAATGTGAGCTCATTAAAATTAAGAACTTCTGGATCATCAAAAGACATTAAGAGAGTGTGAGGCAAACGAAAGCATAAAAGAAGACAGCTGCAATATGTACATCCAAAAGACACTTCACCAGAGCAGGTAAAAACTACAAATCAGTAAGAAGCAGGTAACAAAATAGGAAAAGGGGCAAATGACTTGAAAAGGCACTTCATCAAAGTGAATCTCCAACAGGCCAGTAAGCATATGATAAGGTGCCTGACTTCATTAGTCATCAGAAAATACTGATCAATTTAACATTAACATCAGGAGCTTCTATCTAACAGAAGATAACATTAAGACAAGACAAGCCATAAACTTAGAGAAGATGGCTGCAACACATACCCCAAAAAGCAGCAGGATCTAGATGATTTAAAGGTCTACAAATAAAAAGACAAACCAACCCAAAAGTTTTGGGCTAAAGATCAAAACAAGCATTTCACACAAAAGAAAACGTGGAAGCTCACTAAAGATATGAAAGCATGCTCAACCTTTTTAATAATTAGGGAAATGCAAATGTGATACTTTTACTATGAGATTGGCAAAAATGAAAAAGTCAGCAAGAATATGAAGCAACAGGTATTCTAATACACTGCTGGCAGCAGTACGGAGACTACCTTTGAGGCATTCACATCTGTCTTTCTCGTCCGCTTCATAATTTCCTCAATTCTCTATTTAAAGGGAAATAAAAATTCAAACATGAAAACTGATTAAAAATCAAACAGCGGTCCTGAAGGAGTTTATTATCTCCACTGCACAGAGGTAAACAATGGTAGCAATTACTCCAAAGTCACAGACTTAGCCAGCAAAAGGCCTAGGGTGGCAATTGGGTCTCCTCTCCAAATTCCAGTTGTAGCTATAAAATGGCAACAGTTGTACTTGTTATCATAACACAAACATCTAGATGACAGCATCTCACCCCTAATTCTTCATATGTGGTAATTCATTACTTTAGACTAAGAACATACTATTGCAAACCAATTAGAGCTTTTAATATAATTTTAGTCATAACAGACCATTCCTGAAGCCAATATTAATGAAAATACTATACTTCAGTGATACCACACTGTTAGAGATTTTGTTACTAAAGAGAGAAGACAGAAGGCAGAGAGGGATGTGGTCTAGGGAGGGGTAAAAGAATTCTATCGCCTGCATACATTTACTTCCCTGAAGGTGAAGAAGAGCTGCTGCTTCTAGGCTGCCTCAAGATGACCAATCTACTACCAGAGAGGTCTTGTGGCACCTCAGCCTTGTGGCTCCCAGGTTAGCTCATCTTTGGCCCTCTCGCATGAACAGCCTATACCCTGACCTCTCAGAGAGGTATGCAGTTTCAGTCCCTTTCCTGCAGTTGCTGCAATTTCCAGCCCAATTTAGAAGAAACTCTTAACTTCTACCAACCCCTACTGTGACCAGAGTAATTCTGTCAAAGGAGTTTTTTCCCCAAGAGGTTTGATATATTGAGGCATCACTATAACAACCACCAAGGGTCCATGAGGGGGAGGTATGGTCAACAAGAGAGTCTTCTATAGGAGAAGGCATATCCATGGATAAGGAAAAAGAGTACAGTGGGAAAACAACCAGGGGCTAGCATATACCTGATTCGTGATTTTTAAAACGTGCTGATATCATGTCTCCAACATTAAACAAAGAACTAAATCCCCCAAAACAGAGAGCAAGTACCTTTTTTCTTTCCAACCGTTCTTGTAAATTTTGTAACATAATTCTCTCCTGTTCTTTCTTGCGTCTGTCAGCTTCCTCTTGAGCTTTTATTTTGGCATCCTCTTTCTAGGAAATTTGTATAAAATTAACATTTAATCTCAGTATATCTGAGTGACATCAGAGAATATTAGTTTAAAAACTTAAAACAGTAAAACGTTATCTAGTATAACAGAAGAACGTAACGTTTTGATCAAGGGTTCCTATATATATGATGGTTGTGGACTATCAGTTCTCAAAGCACCAGTCAAAATGCACAAAACTAGTTTAATGCAATCTTAAGGATTCAAGACCTCAGGGTTAACATTATGAATATCAGATAGCCTTAATTTAAATGTATGTAAGTGGCTGTGGAGCTAGCCATTAACAAAGCAACAGGAGTGTCCACAGCCTTACATTTCTCAAAAGCAATAAGAGGATTCTTAAAGGTACCTTACTGAAGAATGCAATCATATACAATCATTTATGAAACATGTAACCAATTTTGACGAATGATACACTAAAAACCAGGAATATAAATTGGGTGATAAATCACACTGAGTTCAGTCTGAGCTCAGGTAAGGGATTTATTCACCTGATGAAGTGAATTTAGACGGATGAGACCTTCTTATTGGTTAATTTAATGATCTTAAACTTGTATAGTTATTTATGTTTTATCTTACCCATCAGGGGGTGTGAGGTGCAGTTGGGGCTATTGTATGTGGCATCACAGAATGCAAGATGGGGAAAACCAACCTGGGATGTTTAATCTGTGCACACAATTTCGATTTAAAACTAAAGGAATGCTAATCTATAATTTTCTTTCTGCTTATTTCACTTGGAAAACATTCTGGGATTTTCCAAGGGTGGCTGAGAATGACTTGCAATGGTACTGGGTAATGGGGAGACTGTAACTTAAAAATGCAGCCAAAGAATATTGTATCTGGCTGGGCTCGGTGGCTCAGGCTGTAATCGGTGGCTCAACCTGTAATCCCGCGCTTTGGGAGGCTGAGGTGAGTGGATTGCCTGAGCCGGGGGTTCGAGACCCACCCGGGTAACTTGGCGAAACCTCGTCTCTACAATAAGTCAAAAATTAGCCAAACGTGGTAGCGTGCACCTGTATTTCCAGCTACTTGGAAGGCTGAGGCAGAAGGATCGCCAGAGCCCAGCAGGTCGAGGCTGCGGTGGCTGGGAGCATGCCACTGCACTCCAGTCTGGGCAACAGAGTGAGACTCCAACTCAAAAAAAAAGAATATTGCATCTGCTCATCTCCTTTCTTGTGGACACAGACTTCTACTTTGGGTTCCAAATGAATTTAATAATCTGGTTCTCATCCCCTGATAAAGTGTCAAGCCAGCAAATCTCTAGTAGTACCTCCTGGTCTTCTTGATCTTGACATCCTTTTTGGTTTTTAGCCTCCATTTGTTGTTGCTCATTTTCAACTTTCGAGAACTCTTCTGCTTGGCCTTCAATTGCTTTGTCTGCCATGTCTTTTGGTTTCCTAATGACAATAAGAATGTTTAATTAACTTTTAGTATTTATCTTGGTTGCTACCATATTCAGTTTGCAGCAGCATGTGAGTTTTTATAGTGAAATTGCTTGTGTATAGCAATACAATTTATATTTACACCAGGGTCACCACATTTTCTGTATTGTTACTACACGATAACAGCACAGAAAAAAAAATTTTTTTTCACAATTTAAGTGGAGGAAACTAGTCCTTGGGAGTAGAAAAATATTTCTATCCAATAGTGGACTACTTTGTATGTTAAAAAATACAAATACACATGTATACATGCAAGAGAGAGAATTACTCCCTCTCAAGAGAATACAACCCTCCAAAAGCCCTTATTTATACATGCTCACACCCAATCTCACATAGGTAATGACAGGGGTAACTTAGAGGAAGGTCTGGAGGTTCCCTGGTATTCAATGTTTTCAAATGCTAAATTAGCTGTTTACATGAAGTGATGAATAATATTCTTTGTTATGTTTTTCTGCTATTCACTCTTCTCCTTTCTCCCAAGCCCAGTTAAAAGGATATGGAAAGTATGTGATTGCATTTCAAAGAACACTTAATACTTAGAAACAAAGTCAGTACTCTTGTTACTCCTTGCAGCCAGTGGACAGAGGGTTATATTACAGGATCCAACATAAAATGGGCCTCAAGATGGAGGAGCAAGAAACCTTCACTCAAGTTCAAATGCACACAGCTGTACATGAGATTTGTTACCTACAAGAAATCGTTCCAGCAACAACTCACTGGCCTGATGAGATTCAGGTGTCACAAAGATCACTGGAAAGTCCCCAAAGCAAAATATGAGTAAGTATAAATTTCCAGGTTAACAAATCCTGAAGTTGTAAGTCTTTTGGAATAAAGAAAAGAGGCTGACACTAATGAACACAGCCATAAACATTCTTGTCTGATCCCTCTGGTCCTCCTGCTTAGACACTGAACCCTGGACATGAGTTTGCTCTCTATGCATTCCTAGTATATCCTAATGACACATGATACATGGAGACTAAAAAGGATTGTGTCATTCTTACACACACCAAGGTCCTCTCTGCTTAGCCATTTACAAGGGCTTGAAATGCTTCCTATACTTTCTTTGTTCAAAAGGCAATGAGGCAGCCAGGTGCAGCGGCTCAAGCTTATAATACCAGCACTTCGGAAGGCCAAAGCAAGGGGATTGCCTGAGCCCAGGGATTCGAGACCAGCCTGGACAACTTGGTAAGACCTTGTCTCTACAATATATCAAAAAATTAGCCGGGTGAGGTAGTGTGCACCTATAGTTCTGGCTACTTGGAAAGTTGAGGTGAAAGGATCGCCTGAGCCCACCAGGTCAATGCTGGATTGGCTGTGAGCGTGCCATTGCACTCCAGCCTCACAGGCTGGGCGACAGAGTGAGACTCTGTCTCAAAAAAAAGGCAATGGGCCGGGCTTGGTGGCTCAGCCTGTAATCCCGTGCCTTTGGGAGGCTGAGGTGAGTGGATTGCCTGAGCCCGCGGGTTCGAGACCCGCCTGGGCAGCGAGACTTCATCTCTACAATAAATCAAAAAAATCAGCCGGGCGTGGTAGCGCGCGCCTGTAATTCCGGCTACTCGGAAGGCTGAGGCGGAAGGATCGCCGAAGCCCAGCAGGCCGAGGCTGCGGTGGCCGGGAGCGGCCACTGCACTCCAGTCTGGGCGACAGAGTGAGACTCCGACTCAAAAAAACAAAAACAAAAAACAAAAAAAGGCAATGAGGCATTTCTGATCCTCACTGAAGAAAAAGCCAGTTACTCTTTGGAAATTTATAACTTAAGCGTAAAATTGTAACTTTCAAAGATCTGGGTCCCAGTTAAGAGTTATGGTATAGGAAGAAAGATTCTGTGCTGACCTTGGCTCCATTTCTTCCCGTAGTCTTTCTTCTTCCGCTTTTTCTCTTTGTTCACGAGCAAGGCGACGTCTTTCTGTCAAAATTTTTGTTGCCTCCTCAGCATTCATGGTCCCTGGTGTGCTTTTATTACCAGGCTCTAGTTTAAATAAACGTGTGTGACAGTTAGTTTAGGAAACATATTGTCTCTCAGTCCTACAAAGAAAAGCAATGCAATCCAATACATTAAAACAAAACGTGTGTAGTCCAAAATGTAAAAATCACAGAGATGTTGTTCAAACGGTACACCCTAACAATAAAAGTAACACTTGTTTCTTTTTAACAATCCATTTGTTCCAAAATGAAACGATGTTTTTCTGCTTTGGTTTTAGCTGTTTTGAGATAACTGAATCAACTGACTCCATGGGAAGAAGAGTAAGATACGCTGATTATAGAGGAAGACAAGCTTATGCTTGGTACAAATGAAGGACAAAAGTACCTTAAATACTTAAGTAAAGAAAATACATCTGGCATACATTGAGAGTTGTGCATCATTTTTACTATATAATTACTGTTTAGCTAAACTCTAATAATAGCGTATATACTTGGTTGATCATAAAGTGGCTAACTGGATAAAAAACAAAAATGTCTACCAGTAAAATAGGGTGACAGCATGGAAGCATATTACAACATCTTAGTCTATGTAACTAATTTATCTTAAATAAGTCACATATAAAAATGAGAATTTTAAGATATATCAGGAATTAATGATTCATAAAAAGATTGCTTCTGTTACAAAGTATTAACTGTGTAATTTCTTAAATGAGCAAAATTCCCTAGTGTGTTTGAAATTCAGTAATGTCCATGGGTATTATGAATGCATGTGACAGGCAAAATAGCAATATGGTACTTTCAGGAATACTACACAAACCAAGGCACATGTTATGGCCTATATAATGAAACAGACCTAAATCTTGAGGAAAACCTGCTCATCCACAAAAAGGGCTAGATGTCCTCTCTCCATGAACCATCCTGTATCAGAGCTGGGTGGGACCACAGGAATCAACCACACCAACTCTCTCACCCAACTTGTACTTTTAACAGGTGTTCCAAAAATGGAATTTCCAAAACCAAGGGGTTGAGCAAGAAGCTCTGGCAAGGATACACAAACAGAGAAGCAAGTAACAATGACTGGTTCAATTCTCTTTACCTAAAATAAACATCACTCCCTAAAGTTCTCTCAAATCCTGGGGCAAAGTGGCTCACACATGTAATCTCAGTGCTTTGGGAGACCGAGACAGGAGGATTGCTTGTGGCCAGGAATTTAAGACCAGCTTGGGCAACAAAGTGACACCCCATTTCTAGAAAAAAAATAATTAACTAGGCATGGTGGTATGCACCTGTAGTCCCAGCTACTCAAGAGGTTGAGGCAGGAGGACTGCTTGAGCACAGGAATTGGAGGCTGCAGTGAGCTATGATCGCACCACTATATCCCAGCCTGGGTGACAGAGCAAGATCCTGTCTCGAAAAAGAAAAAGTTCTCTTAAATGGGGAATAAAATCAAGTGGACCCTTCCTAAACTACTTTACAATTTTCTGTATGGCTCAAATAAACTTCTTAGTGAAAGAACTTACCTTCACAGATCATATGCCTTTGGTTTGAAACCTCACATTTGTTTGTGGTTTTAGGAACTGTTTCTTTCTTCTTTTTGACAGAATCTAATGCAATTTGCACAGATAAGGAACGCTGAACAGATGGTATTTTACAGGAAAACTGTGCTGATTGTTTTGAAATGACCAGTGAGGGTGATGGGGGGTGGTTCCTTTGGATTTGCCTGCTGAGAACAAGTAATACATGTGTGTTAATTACTTGTAAGTGTACAATTCCATGAAATACAGTGTCTTGATATTATAAAAATAATGATATACCTGGGAATTTTCCTAAAAAGTACATTGATTTTTACAATTTTTTTTCTTTAAATGTATGCTACCGCCGGACTCTGTGGCTCAGCCTGTAATCCTGCTCCTTTGGGAGGCTGAGGTGAGAGGATTGCCTGAGCCTGCGGGTTCGAGACCCACCTGGGCAGCGAGACCTCATCTATACAATAATTCAAAAAAATCAACCGGGCATGGTAGCGCATGACTGTAACCTGTAATTCCGGCTACTCGGAAGGCTGAGGCGGAAGAATCGCTGGAGCCCAGCAGGTAGAGGCTGTGGTGGCCGGAAGCGGCCACTGCACTCCAGTCTGGGCGACAGAGTAAGACTCCAACTCAAAAAAAAAAAAAAAAAAAAGGTATGCTACCATCCATACTGTATTATTTCATTCATGAAACACTGACATGAATTTGTCTTTGTAAAATGCCTATCAAGGACAGTTGCACATAAGCTCCTTACTTAATACTGATGGGAGAAGGTGGACGACACCTGCTTGCAGGAGACGATGATGATTTATGACATGGTATGTTAGATGATAGACGCTTCTTGGTAGTAGGATTTGAGGCCCGTTTGTCCATTTCTGATTTCTGAACAGATCGATGCAATAAGAAATTACTAGCAATTATTTTACTATAGCTGGCTTTTCTTTTTAAGAGAAATACATTCTGAATAAAATATAATTGTAATTCTTTAAATCCCAATATTACTGTACAGCGTGAGAATCAGATAGAGATATATTTTCTTCTGGACCAACAATTTATATTACACAATTCAAGTAGATTACAGAAATAATTTAAAAGAAATATTTTAATTCAAAATCAAACTCCATTTCTAAATTCTAATTAGGAGTCTGGAATATCTCTCAAAATTTTTTTTCAGAGTTTAGAAACATAGTTCATATAATATTACGTTTTCTCCCTTCTACTAAAAACTAATATTTCAGCATGGGGGGAAAGTAGTACAATGAACATCAGAGAATTTTAAATTATTAGTTTAAGTGAGTTATCCTATCATATTAATTTTATTGCAGAATACCATAAATAGTAAGTTGTTATGTTGTGAAATCTGGCCTGTCATTATCTATAACACAAAATATACATATTTTAACAGACAATTTGCTAATTAAAGGCACATGACAAACCCGTGGAGAGTCTCTTACTTTTGCCTTGGAAGATAGTTCCACACTCACCCCAGGGAATGTCTTGCGGCGCGCTTCCATGCTTGCTTCAGGGAGTGCATCCACCAACACCTCCGGGTTCGATTCTACCATTACCTCGGGGTTCACTTCCACCATCACCTCAGGGGATGCTTCCACGCTCTCCTCAGATGATGCATCTACACTTTCCTCAAGGGGCGCGTCCATGCTTATCTCAGAGGATGTGTCCGCACTCACCACAGGGGATACATCCACGCTCACCACGGAGGATGAGTCCATGCTCATCTCAGGTGACGTGTCCACACTTTCCTTGGGGGGCACTTCCATGCTCACCCTGGGAGATGCTTCCACATTCAACTTGTGGGGTACATCCATGTTTGTTTTGCAAGGTGCTTCCATGCTTGCCTTGGGGAATGCTTTCACAATTGCGTGGGGGTGCACTTCCGTACTTGCCTTGGGTGGTACCTCTACTTTCTCCCGGGGAGTCATTTCTAATTTTGCTTGAGAAGGCATTTTCACTGCTGACTTGGGAGACACAGCAGCCCTGAATTCACTGCTACTAAATCTATGCAAGGGCACAGTTACATACTTCATTACATAATTGGTGACACCTGTAAGTGAATGAGGACAGAGAATGAAATTCCACTTCAGAAATTTGACAAGATAAACACACAATGTACATAGTGTAAGAACAGGAAAGAGAAGAGACAGTTTCTTAGGAAAGCACAAAGATTACACATAACACCGGAAACGTTTAGTGAAAGGCATCACAGACAGGACACAACCATCATTACAAAGTTAGTACTTCAGAAGCAACACTAACAACAGTAATTGTGAAAGTGATAGTCTATTACAGATGAAAATTAGATGCTTCTCCAAAGTTGATGCTTGCAATAAACCATTTCTATTTAAACCACATTATGTTTCAGAATGATTTTCACTGCAAATTACAAAATATTCAACCTGTTCTAAAAGTAATCTAAACATCTTCACCAGGGCTAGAGCTCTTACCATTACAGGCAATTATGTAAGACACACCATATTTGATTATTTTAGAAGAGAATGTGATAAAGAGCATTATCTTATCCATACTAAAAACTATAATGAGACATAAATCAGAGTGGCTTGGATCTCCAAGGTTCCTTCTGGCTTTAACAATCTAAATTTTTTTTCCTTACGAAATAGACAAATATGCAGCTGGGCTTGGTGGCTCAGGCTGTAATCCCGCGCTTTGCAAGGCTGAGGTGAGTGGATTACCTGAGCCTGCGGGATAGAGACCCGCTTGGGCAACGTGGTAAGACCTCATCTCTACAATAAATAAAAAATTAGCCGAACGTGGTAACGCGCTCTGGTAATACCAGCTACTTGGAAGGCTGAGGCGGAAGGACTGCCGGAGCCCAGCAGGTCAAGACTGCGGTGGCCGGGAGCGGCCACTGCATTCCAGTCTGGGTGACAGAGTGAGACTCCAACTCAAAAAAAAAAAAAAAAAAAGAAATAGACAAATATGACAATACTCGGTGACATCTAAGATGGATGAAAATGATAATACCAATGTTTGGAACCAGGCAACCTTATACACCACTGGCGAAAGTATAGATTTACATATTTTCCCTGAGGAGCATAAAAATACATACTCTTTGTTCTAGCAATTCCACTTCTAGGTTTATCCCCTTTGGAAAAAAAATCAGATCAATACATTAAAATGTAAGTATAAAATTACATTAGCAACAATTATGCTCCATGATTTATAAAGCTAAAATGATTGAAAATATAATCCGAACATTCCACAGAAAATTTGGACTATACTACAGGAGTCATTAAGAGTAATAACATGCAGTAAAAGCATAAATAAATAAACAAATAAATAAAAGCAGGCTATTTCATTTTATATGAAAAAAATAATCACAAAGTAAAATATTAAGTTACCAGTGGGTGTTGGGGATAATAGTGGATTACATTTAAAAATTGTTCTACACAGCCGGGCTCGGTGGCTCAGCCTGTAATCCCGCGCCTTGGGAGGCTGAGGGGAGTGGATTGCCTGAGCCCGCGAGTTCGAGACCCGCCTGGGCAACTTGGCGAGACCTCATCTCTACAATAAATCAGAATTAGCCGGGTGTGGTAGCGCACGCCTGTAGTTCCACCTACTTGGAAGAATGAGGCGGAAAGATCGCTGGAGCCCAGTAGGTAGAGGCTGCAGTGGCCGGGAGCGGCCACTGCACTCCAGTTTGGGTGACAGAGTGAGACTCCAACTCAAAAATAAAAAAAATTGTTCTACACTAAATATTTATTGCTTATATAATTAAACATTTTTAAAAAGGTATTTAGTGGTGGCTTTCTTAAGACTTAGTAATTTATCTGCCACCTCATCTTTAAGTATGAGTGGCAAATTTTCACATTATTTCATCAAATAATTAAAATAAAACAAATTACCAAAGATTGACCACTTAGAAATAAAACTTCTGACTAAATTAATGTTATCTTTTACTCTCACATTTTTGGTGGAAAAAGCATTTTATTTACATATCTACATGTGCCTAAACAGTCATATTACTTAACACCAATAGCTTGTGCTACAGAAAATATAGTAGAATAACTAGATTTTTATTAGCTATAAAAATTTAAGACAAGCCAGGTTCGGTGGCTCAGTCTGTAATCCCGTGCTTTGGGAGGCTGAGGTAAGTGGATTGCCTGAGCCCACGGGTTCGAGACTCGTCTGAGCAACTTGACGAGACCTCATCTCTACAATAAAACAAAAATCAGCCGGGAATGGTAGCATGCACCTGTAATTCCAGCTACTCAGAAGGCTGAGGCAGAAGGCTCGCCGGAGCCCAGCGGATCGAGGCTGCGGTGGCCGGTAGTGGCCACTGCTCTCCAGTCTGGGCGACAGAGTGAGACTCCAACTCAAAAAAAAAAAATCAGGAATTAGGTAAAAGAAGTACGGCTGCACTACCAAAAAGTCTGTGACAGTATTTTGACTCATGTTAGTAAGCATATGAATATTGACAGAAAAAAGCCAAGGGAGTGAGATACATACATTCTGGAAAGGAAAAAGTCGAGGAGAAAAAAAGAAAAAAATGATAGGAACAATGCACTGGAGCTTTATAACACTGAAGATTTTATTTTACTTACAGTCTTTATGTTCCTAATTAAAAGATGAAGGGTGGTTCAATGTTATTCTTCTATACTTTGGAAAAATAAGGAGGATGGAGTAGGAAATTTTCTTCCTTGATATTAGGAAAATTTTTCTGTGCTTTTAAATCCATAGAGCTTTAATCTTGAACAACCAGCCAGGCTCGGTGGCTCACCCTGTAATCCCAGCACTTTGGGAGGCCGAGGTGAGTGGATTGCTCGGTGGCTGACCCTGTAATCCCAGCACTTTGGGAAGCCGAGGTGAGTGGATTGCCTGTACCCACAGGTTCGAGACCTGCCTGGGCAACTTGGTGAGACCTCATCTGTACAATAAATCAAAAAAATTAGCCGGGCATGGTAGCACATGCCTATAGTTCCAGCTACTTGGAAGGCTGAGGCGGAAGGATCGCCGGAGCACGGCAGGTCGAGACTGCGGTGGCCAGGAGCAGCCACTGCACTCCAGCCCAGGTGACAGAATGAGACTCCAACTCAAAAAAAAAAAATGAGAATATTAAAATTGAACTACCACCAAAGTTACCTAACTCATACCATAAATTATGATGATGATTATTATTGTTGAGTTGGAGTCTCACTGTCGCTCAGGCTGGCGTGCAGTGGCACACTCATGGCCATTGCAGCCTCGACCTGCTGTGCTCTCGCTATCCTTCCACCTCAGCCTTCCAAGTAGCTTGAACTACAAGCGCACGCTACCATGCCCAGCTAAGAGTTTGATTTATTGTAGAGAAAGGTCTCACACCAAATTGCCCAGATTGGTCTCCAACCTCTGGACTCAGGCAATGCTCTTGCCTTGGCCTCCCAAAATGCTGGGATTATAGGCTTGAGCCATCGCGCCCGGTCTTAAATTATTTGTTACCCAGATAACTACCCTACCAAATCAGAAGTCATAAAATAAGTATGCAACATCAAATATTGGGTAAAATCACTAATTTGGTAATTACTGATTCAAATTATTTTAACGCCTAAATGCAACACATTCAGTGATAGAACCTACTGTTAAGTGAAAACACTAACACCTTCAGGCTTTTCACCATATGCCTGTTACCTGGAATATCTTTTCCAGGGATGGAAAATGAAGCAGCACTTGTTTCTGGCTAATGACACTTTTGTCGGAATGAGCAGGCGACTGATTAAATTATTTTCTTGACAACTGATATATGAGCGAGGAGCTAAATGATGACATCAAAGCAAAACGATTCAATTTGAGGTCTCACAAATAAATGCAAAGCAAGAAAGAGCAATATGTACTGCTCTAAATAGTACCTTCCCCAGCAACACAAAACATAATAGGATTGAACACTGTCATCTGACTTGAGTGCACTGTCAAAAAAGAGATTACCAGCCGGGCTCGGTGGCTCAGCCTGTAATCCCGCGCCTTTGGGAGGCTAAGGTGAGTGGATTGCTTGAGTCCGCGGGTTCGAGACCCACCTGGGCAGCGAGACCTCATCTCTGCAATAAATCAAAAAATCAGCCGGGCATGGTAGCGCATGCCTGTAATTACGGCTACTTGGAAGGCTGAGGCGGAAGGATCGCCAGAGCACAGCAGATCGAGGCTGCGGTGGCCGGGAGCGGCCACTGCACTCCAGTCTGGGCGACAGAGTGAGACTCCAACTCAAAAAAAAAAAAAAAAAAGTACTTTGTTAATAATTGTGAAATTTTATTTGCAATAATCAATTAGCAGTGAAAACACACACAAAGGATATATGTAGGTAATACTGTGAAGCAACAGAGCAAAGTTCTGAAGTTCAACATGTGGCCAGTAATTTATAACTTCTGAATGCAAACTGACGAAATGTTGGAAGTCAATCAAGTCCTCCAAGTACAGATCTATCTTTACCAACATTCTATGATTTCTTTCCTCAGCTTCATTATCCACCCCTTGTCAGATGATGGCAGAAATTATATACTTCATTTAAAGACAGACTTTTCTGGCTTCAAACAAGCATAGGATCAAAGCACATTTTTTGGTTCAAGAAGGGATACTTGGCTTCTAAATTTTAGAAATGACTTTTCAAGCAACTCAATGTTTACATCGAATACCTGTAAACCACTATTTACAATTTGTACTTAGAAGTAACTAGTCACCTGGCTTTTTTTCCACTTGTTCTTTATCAGTAGATGAATTGAGCTTGTTATCCCTTCTATTTAAAGATGAGCTTCTCTTCTTTTCTGTTTTTCCTAGAAATCAAGTAACAAAGGAATATTATTTTTCACAAACTACTTAAATACGTTATTTCAGGAATGAGCCACTTTTTTTTCAAACATTTTTTTTATCTTCTCCACATTTCAAGTAAGGAATTTATTTAATTTCAAATATTATGCAGATTCTACATCCCTAAACTTAAAACGAGTATACTTTTTAAGTTCTCTTTTTTTTTTTTTTGAGTTGGAGTCTCACTCTGTTGCCCTGACTGGAGTGCAGCGGCATGCTCCTGGCTACCACATCCTCTACCTGCTGGGCTCCAGCAATCCTTCTGCCTCAGCCTTCCAAGTAGCTGGAATTATAGGTGTACGCTACCACATCTGGCTAATTTTTGATTTTATTGTAGAGATGAGGTCTCGCCAAGTAGCCCAGGCGGGTCTCAAACCCGCGGGCTCAGGCAATCCACTCACCTCAGCCTCCCAAAGCTCTGGGATTGTAGGCTGAGCCACCAAGACTGGCTAAGTTCTCTTAAATGAAATAAAACAATATAGAATATGGCAAAAATTAAGAAGGAAAATATCTGATACTATCTGACAACATCAATATTCCCAAGTTAGTAATATACAACTTTAAATTTTAGACATAATGCCTAAGAAATACTAAAAGTAATTTATCCTTTACTTATAACTATAGTATTTTTTTAAACAAAAATAAGTATTAACATTTGGTATAGACATCACAATTTAAGCAATCCAACCGTTCACAAGGAAAAAATTCTGCTTTGTATAGACACTTTTCCATTTTGCTTGAAATATTCTAGCTCAGAGTGCTGCTAAATGTTTGTTTAAAAAATAATTTCTCAAGCCGGGCTCGGTGGCTCAGCCTGTAATCCCGCGCCTTTGGGAGGCTGAGGTGAGTGAATTGCCTGAGCCCGCGGGTTCGAGACCCGCCTGGGCAGCGAGACCTCATCTCTACAATAAATCAAAAAAT